TCGACCAAGTCTGAAGAGGCCATTCGTCACTTAAAAGAATACTTCCGTTATTACAGTAAACCTAAGCGTTTGATAAGCGATCGTGGAACATGTTCAACTTCAGGATTATTTACAGATTTCATGCAGGATGAAGGCATAGAACATATTCGGGTCGCCTATCGGGACACCTTGCGCTAATGGTGAAGTGGAACGATACAATCGCGTTATTAATCCTGTGTTAGCAAAATTGAGTATAAGTTCGGGAAAATGGGACCGAGTATAGTACTAGAGCTTGTAGAATTCGCTATAAATAATACTGTTTGCCGTTCAACAAATGAAACTCCGTGTAAACTGCTTTTTGGAAGGAACCAATTCGGGGTAATAAACGACAAATTAAGAGTAATTCTTGAAGCACGAAATAATGAAGAAAGAGACTTGGTGGCAACACGCAATGCAGCTGCACAAGCTATTCAGAAAAGCCAAAGAATAAATGAACAAGTTTATAATCGTACACACAAAAAGGCAACTATGTACAAAACCGGCGATTATGTTATGATACGGAATCGAGACGTCACACCCGGTATTAATAAAAAGCTAATCCCGAAATTCCGTGGCCCATATGAAGTAAAAAAGGTTTTAGACAAGGATAGATACGTAGTAGAAGACATTGATGGATTTCAACTGACGAGGATACCATTTTCGGGTATCGTTGGACCAGGCCAGATGAAACCATGGATTCGTCTCTAGCTTAAGCAATAAAGTATAAGTCTATATTTTTAAAAAAGTTATAAAACTTAGACTTGTGATCTTATACTAGTGTTAGTATAGTATAAGACTTAAGTATCATATGTTAGTGTAGATAGTATGTCATATGTTAGTATAGATTAGTTCTAAGTTTAAGGCAAGGCGATACATATACGCGATCGAGGACAATCACAATTGTCAGGATTGGCCGAGTTGTAGGCGATCATTGGGATGATCGCCATAGGAACGGATTGTTTATGTTTCGAGAAGAGGTTTGTGCCTGGGAAGGGAGATGGCTGATCGGACGACAGTCCGACAGTCGAATAAAGACTTTTGAGAAGGAAATATCTCACGGCTAAGAATTCTTCGCCCTTTATCCATTACAAGAGATTTGTGCGATTGATTTGGCAAACAAAAGAATTCGCGCGACTGCGTCGGGACACACGCGCTTTTCCAATTAAGGAGCTCTGCTTTGCACGCCCGCCAAGGATAGTTTCCACCGGGGCGAGTGTAACGAATGAAAGTCGTAACGGAGGATGAAATCGCTGGATATCCGACACGCTGTTGTACGAGGTTTGTTTCTCTTGATTATTTAATGCTGTGCGACCCGTGCGACTTCACCGCGGCGTGGCTTCTCTTCTGGAAAGAAACTCGAGATCGAACGTGACGGGAGAGAAACGCCCGATTCAGGAATTCATTCTGACTCGAGTCTGTGTTTGAAACACAGAATTGAACTCAGCAGAATTGTCAATGAAGTTCAGAAAGTCAGATTTGGACACAAAATGATAGTGCTGATGAATAAAGAATAGCAGCATATATGTATTATATAGTAGAGATTACGTATCAAGAGATTAATTAAATATCAGGGAGCGTCGATCGATCAGTTTACTCGAATACATTATCGTGGGGAATAATGTTAGGAAAATTATTAATAACAACTGAGATATCCGTTATTATTGCGATCTGGTATCCTGATGATTACCTTCGGTAACATTTACAATTACATTGTACGATGTATACGACTTATTTCTAACAAGAATTCACAAGACGCGAAATATGTCCTTCATTCTGGAAAATTGTTAGAGATTATCTCATTAAATGAGATGTTGCACAACTAAATTAATACACCGAGCATTTTCAACGCACTGTAAAATTCTTGTTAATTCTTCTCCAAAAGACTTTTGCGTTTGTAAATTTTCGAAACAGGCGAAAACAAACGTAGGAAAAAAAAAGATATTAAAACGTGATATACGTAAACATTGCGTTGCACGTGAATGTCGTTGATTTAATCCCATCCGTGAATATTAATAAAAAGAATCACCAAAGTCGAGTATGTCGTGAAAATCGTGGGTAACAATGGCGTTGTCCGTGGAAATTATGGTGGGCGGTCTGGAGTCGTTGCACCCCCGTGTCGCGATACTTTCCGAGTCGATCATTCCAACGATCCAACGTGTCCATGATATTTACGCCGTTGCAATATCGTCGTTGCAGCCGTGGAAATGTTATTGCTGCGAGCGCGCGAACGATAGTAAATCCATTGGCTGTGCAATATCGCGGCCGTGCCACGCCCGTTTTCGCCCCGATTTTAATTTTCACCCCGCGCGCAAGATGACCGTGGATTCATAAATCGAAAGGAGGCTCGCCGATTCGGGGATTTACAGCCGTTTAATTCACGTCCACGTGACGCGAACACATTGCGCGTTGCGTGGCAACGAATCTCTCTCTCTCTCTCGTTTTCGGTTTATAAAATTTCGAAAACAGCGTCGTTCTCTCTGTGCGTCGATACATTTTTGGCTGGTCGAAACTTTCTTTCTATCCCGCGAATTGGATAGAAAAATTTGAAGGTTGGAACGGTGTCGAATTTTTAACCTTGTTGTTCCTCTCGCTCCTTCGTCGCGTCACATCTTTCTAAATACATTTGTCCTTTTTTCTAATATTTTATTCACAGATGTGCGCGCCATGTGCAAAAGATCGTGAGATTTCAATGATCGTATCGAACATTGAAACGTAGTATTATAAAGAATGATAATAATATCTATCGAACGGTAGACAATAATATTATTGAATAACGATAGACGATAATAACACGTCTGTTCAATTCTAACGTTTCGAGAACAGCAAGGTCTCAATAGGTAGTGCAGGGTATTGAAACAAATGAAACGCCACGATGTTTTGTGTGTCAATGAATTTTTAATCGTCCCACGTGGAAATCGGATATATATATATATATATAAAAAAAAAAAAAAAAAAAACAAAAAACGAAAGAGGGTACAAAACACGCTGTACAATATTCTTTCTCCTACGTCGTTACAATCCATTTTTCCTCGGATACGCGAAGCCGAATTACAACGTACAAGCTATAAACCGACGCGAGATCGAATTTGCAGTATCTAGAGTAATATTCGCTAAATATTTTGGTCGAAGAGTAGCCCTGTGGCCTTCTCCCGTAGTCTCGGACGTGTCCCGTAGTCGCGAGTTGTAGATGCCAAATTCTCGATCGAAAGGAAACGCGCGTCTAACACGCGGAGATTTTTGCATTCGGACGTTCGGTGGTGGACGAGAGAGATCGAAGAAGGTCGCCGGAAGTGGATTGGCAATCCCGGTCAGCTTCTGTATACCAACGACACCAAACGAGAGAGGTTCGTGCGAAGATTCGTTGCGACGAAGGAAGGAGATCGTGATCTCGCCAGCCAGCCTGTTTGTCCTTTCCTTTCCTTTCCTTTCCTTTCTTCTCTCCGGTACGTTTTACACCGAGGTGGAAACCGCGCGTTCCTCGCCGCGACGATGCTCCGCTGTTCGCGTTCTTTCTTCCGTACGGACGGAAGAAAAGAAGGACAGGATAGAGAAAGAAAGAGAGAGAGAGAGAGAGAGAGAGAGAGAGAGAGAGAGAGAGAGAGAGTAGGAGCGATACGAGAGAGGTCAGCAGGATATCCCTTCGTGGACCGACAATCGGTGTGATTACAGCCAAGACGTGCACTGATGGTGATCGGTGAGCAAAATTTCCTTCTAATTGTTCGCAGGTCCTCTTCCAGGTTGTCCTTTACCACCAGCCTGAAAAGGATTTTTTCGTGCGTTAATCGGGAACGGGATTCTTCCCCGAGTCGCTCGCCGAGCTCTTTTGTTCACCCATCTTTTGTCTCCTAGGATCCAGAGATCGTTGTTTTCCCCTCCCGTTATTTCGCAACGCGCGGTATGTAACCCTTTTAATCAAAAGCACGGAAGCGACAAGCCTCCCCGCCGCTCTTCTCCTCGCGGGGATTGCTCGTTACGTCATTTCGTCCCAATTACCACGCCAGCTTCGAAACTGGTTTCCGCGTTGTTTCGTCAAAGCACCGAGAGCTGCCTTTCCATGGATTAATCGCGACCGTGCAAGATCGAAATCGTTTACCATCGACTCTGTATATCGCAGAAACATCAGCCGACAAACGTTTTTCACGTTTTTTTTTTTTTTTGGGGAGGGGGGAGCATGTGTAGAGATGCAAAGAGAGGATGCTTTTCATCACGCCGAATCTGTCTGCTACGCAAACAGCTTAATTGCCGTTTAAACTGCACGCTGTAAATTTAGATGCCGCGCTTGGCCCATTCATTTTTCAATGAGTGTATTACATTTGCCGATCGTGGCTGACTAATTTCCGTTTCAGCGACGCTTCGCCGTTTCCCGCGAGCCGCGTTAAAAAATTATCAACGTGTTATTTGTGCGTGCCGGCGCCGTTGCCGCGAATTGATCGTTGGGTGGGGGAGGGGGGGGGGCGGACTTTTTCCTGCGAGTGTGTTTTCAGTTCTACGTAAATATGATGCTACACGTTGCACGAAAATTCTGATTTCTTTCGAGAGATTTTTTTGAAATTTCGTTACCGTGGTTTTTAATAATTTCCAAAATTGGAGGGATCGTGTAATTCTGCATTATATTTGGATTTTGACGGAACGTGTATCAAATCGTTTAAAACTTTTACTGTCAAGCGCGGAGGATATTTTCTTTCTGTCGCAAAAGTGAAATAAAGTAGGAATCGGAAAATCAACGGGGAAAGTTCAAAGAAATCGATTGTCAATAGTTCGAAAAGCTTTCACTGGACGAATTTCATCTCTCGGCACCTTCAATTGTAATTTTTCGTATGAATATTCATCACGTCTTTTTAAATCCAATATTTCTTCCTTTTTAATATCGGCATTTATCACCGGTCACGCAAGTGCGATATTTTCCAGCCGGTCACAGTAAAACCGTGTAATTAATCACAACTTTAAAATCTATTATCCGCCGATAATTCCCTACGTTGATTCAATTCAGGATCCATTTCATTTATCTTCCCCAACCCTTGGGCAAATTAAATCGAGGATCAGTAACAACATTCCCCATAAACAAACAAGCAAATAAATCCCTCTGCCTTCGAATCAGCCGGCTAAATCAGCTAATTAACGCGTCGCCCTCTCAACGAATACGTCAAACAAAGATCCGCCTTTTCAAATCAAGCCCAATTTACACGTGCCAAGAAGTCTCTAGTTTCGTCAAATCTAGTTTCGTTTCGTTCTCTAATTCCAGTTTCGATGCTGTTTTCAAACATCAACAGAGAGAAAGAGGAGGCTAGAAATAAGTGCGCGTTGTATCGATCGAAGCTAAACGATTTGATCATGGTAAATTGGAAACGCAGAGGACGAAGAAGACTTTCGATCTCTCGGTTTCGAAAACGAAAAGAAATCAAAGAGACGAGGAATCACCGACAATCGCGAAAGATCCTTAATTACCCCGAAACTGCTTTTAATCAATGTTTCCGCGAACACGGCCGACGGTAACAGCGAGAAAAAAAGGGAAACAAACGAGACCGTGAAAAATTCATCGTCGCCATCGTTCCGCCCTCGAGCCAATATTTTTACCTCGTAATATCACGGCAACGGGAAATAAAGAGGGGGAGGAGCCGGCTAATGAAAAATTCGCGACAACAATCTCGCGAGGCACTTTGGATCGATACCACGTCCGCCGCGAAATTCTACCGAAGCAAGGGAACGTGTCTAAGGCAGAAAGCCAAAGAAAAAACGGGACGAGATCACGGGTAAGAGATTTGGAAAATCAAATTGTCCTCTTACCGCTGCTGCCGCCGCCGCCGCCGCTCCATCCGCCACCACCGCCGCTCCATCCTCCACCACCACCGCTCCATCCTCCCTTCCATCCACCGCCGCCGCCGCCGCTTGGCCATCCACCACCCCCGCCGCTAGGCCATCCACCTCCACCGCCGCTCACAGTGATCACTTTGATGATCTTTCCACCACCGCCGCCGCCGCCGCCGCCACCACCTCCGCTCCATCCTCCTTTCCATCCACCCCCGCCGCCACCTCCGCTAGGCCATCCTCCTTTCCATCCGCCGCCGCCACCACCGCCGCCGGACCAACCACCGCCGCCTCCGGACCAGCCGCTGCTTATGTAACCGGCTGCAAGACGAAACAAGAACGCTCGTCGATTTTCTTGACTCGTTAACGATAGATTACCGCGCTTCTCAGTTTTGGTACTTTTGCTACACGCGCTCCTCTTGACGAACACTGGCCAATCGATGAAAATTGCTGGAGGAAGACTAGGAGAGGATATTTTTTTTTTTTTTTTTTAGAGAAGTTTAGGTTCTGGGTGAGTTTTTCTCTTGACAAACAGTGCCCAGTTGGTGAAAATTACGAATTTTCTAGATTTACGATTAGTGTTGAAAGAAGACGAAGAGAGGATATTTTTTTAGAAAAGTTTAGGTTCCGGCTGAATTTTTCTCTTGACAAACAGTGTCCAGTTGGTGAAAATTACGAATCTTCTAGATTCACAATTAATGTTGGAGGAAAACGAAGAGAAGATATTTTTTTTAGAAAAGTTTAGGTTCCGGGTGAATTTTTTTCTCTTGACAAACAAGACTCAGTTGAGAAAATCACGAATCTTTTAGATTTACGATTAGTGTTAAGAGGAGACGAGGAGGGGATATTTTTTTACAGAAGTTTAGGTTCTGGGTGAATTTTTCTCTTGAGAAACAGTGCCCAGTTGAGAAAATTACGAATCTTCTAGATTTACGATTAGTGTTGAAAGAAGATGAGGAGAGGATATTTTTTTAGAGAAGTTTAGATTCCGGGTGAATTTTTTTCTCTTGACAAACAATACTCAGTTGAGAAAATCACGAATCTTTTAGATTTACGATTAGTGTTGAAAGAAGATGAGGAGAGGATATTTTTTTAGAGAGGTTTAGGTTTTGGATGAATTTTTTTCTCGACGATCAGTCGGTGAAAATTATCTTCTAGGGTTACGATTAAAGTTGAAGGAGAGCTCGAAAGACTCGAGGAAACAATGTTTCTTTTAGGTGGAGGGTTTAGGATGAATTAATCGAGGGAAACATTTTAGATTTGTGTTTTTGGTGAACTTCGTACAAACGATTGGTCAAGTAATTTTTTGAAATTCAGGGTTAGTTGCAAGAACGTAGGGTTTTCACTGAATCTAAAGTTAAATTTTTCAACAATTCACTGGTGGTTCGTCGCGCGAGGTTGATCGATTGAAAATTCGTCTGGTCTTCCGCAATTTTTTACGAATGCTTCTCAACGAATCTACGAGGAAACTTGTAACAGAAAAATTGAAACGATAAGTCACGATTCCTTTATATCTTCACCAAACTTGAGAAACTTTTTAATAACGAAAAAAAAAAAAAAGAAAAAACGCAATTAACTCTAGAATAATCTAGAATAATCTACCAACGTTTACCAATAAACTCAAAGTTGAAAAAGACTAGACATCAGTCGTACTCCATCCCTCCAACGATTATTTATAATGCAAAATCGTTGTGCTCCCTCTCGTATCGTATGTTCCTCGCGGCGACGTCGTTACGGGATATACACGGGCAATTTGATTCGCGCGTAAATCGATTAACGATCGAAGGCAAGCGATCGTGAAAATTGAGAGAGCGTGCGCGGCTTTTTGTCCGTCACTCGATTAACGTCTCGTTTCCCGGCGAGAGGGTAAGAAAGCTCGTTCCGCGTGTTTTTTTCGTTCAACCAGTCATCGATCGTCCGTGCTCTCGTAATCGGAACCACCAGCGTTTACCAGCCACGGTGTGCACGCGATTTCTTTAGCTCGGCTCACTTTGCAACTCCACGTTCACTGGGGTGTGTTAGCACCGGGGTTACTCTACTCACCATAGGTGGTGGCTACGAGCGCCAGGAGGATCGTAATCGCGAACACCTGTAACGAAAAGAGATCGTGAATCGTATCCTTATGTGTGTGTGTGTGTGAGAGAGAGAGAGAGAGAGAACGTTGTTAAAAAAATAAAAAATAACAGCAAGAACACGGAATACGAATGGGAGAGGCTTACAAACGAACACGTACCTTCATGTTGAGGTGTTTGATGCCCATCGTCGTGACCGGTGCCTCTTTTATAGCTCTTGCCTTTCTTCGCCGATCTCTCCCCCCCCCCTCCTCCCGCCCTACCTTCGTCCCTCTCCCCCCCCGTTTAACCAACCGAGATCGTCTTCTGACTGTTCGTAACGCCTAACTTTCGTGTCCACTACCATCGCGACAAAAATCCCCTACTCGAGTCTGACCGCCAGCCTGCATACACTTGGCGAAATCCCTCTCCTCTTCCTCGGAGTCTGTTGCCTTGTAACGATGCGTAACCAACGTAACGATGTGCAACCCGCGTTCTGTTTCATCTGAACACCGGGCGATCGTGAATCTCCTGACGAGGCCGCCACCACGTCCGAGTTACAGGGTCGTGCGATGGAATTTTCTATGCGCGTACATCCGTACGTGCGGATTACAGTGGAAAATCCAAGTTCTTGGATTTTCTCGAGCAACAGTGTAGCTACGTCGACTAAAGAAATTTTTGGTTAGACGTTTGTTCGCTTGTTCGGGGATTTTTTAAGAAAATTCACTGAAAGATGTTATTATCAAATGCGTCAGAATGCAGGAAAGTCCTCAGCGAAACAAAAGTCGCTGATTGTGAAACATTTCTTACACGTAGCGAAGTTATTGCTTTCTCACCAATCGACGAAATCTTTGAGACGCATGTCTGGACACTGACGCTTATAGGGAATCCCGTCTTTGCTCTTTCTCGTATATAGGTACATATTTTGACTTATATATATTTTTTTTAATAAAACAGCAGAATATAAGAAAAAACTAGTTTTCTAAATTTCAAATTAAATTCAATTTCGAACACGATTCCTTTCATTATGTTTTAAAAATTATTTCTTTCGAATGTGTTGACCAGAGCGTTTGCAAATTATAAAGTGATTTTTGTCTCATCTTATACTTTTTATACGCACATATACATATATCTATGTATATATATATATACTTTGCTTTTCTTTTGTTATTCGTATTCCTGAATTTTTGATATCAACTGCATTTGGATTTATTGCAGTTTATTGCAATTGCGATTAGATTTGTTTGTTATAAATTGTTTGACTACGATTTAATTTACTTTTCAATCAAATCATTACAATCGTACTACAATATAAATTATATTAAAAAATGATAAATACGATTATTTCAATTGAAATTAAAATTGAACGAAATTAAACATTACTTTTTACTAATTGCACCCCCTTAGGGTACGGGGGTACAAGAATAGGCCCTGGGTAAGTTCTGCCTGTCGTAAAAGGACAGTTTAGCTCAAACGCGAGGAATAATTCTTAAAATTCTATTATTTATGTTAAATGAAGATCCATTTATCTGATAAAATCATTATCGGTACGGTTTAAGTAACACTCAAATGTTACTTAATAAAAAGAAAGATCATCATATATCGAAGAAATACATATATATTCTTCCCCGTGTTTGTGTTTCAATTTTTATTTATTTATTATATATATAACACCTTCTCGGGTTATTAGTGACCATGGTAGATTTTACGATAGAGTAGGTACAGCTATAATAATTGGTATAATCCTATAAAACATTCAAATGAATTTTCTAAAAAATAAATAAGATTTATTTTGTACCTTATTAGGGTTAATTAATTTATTTTAGTAATTTTAATTATCTCGAAAGTAAATGATCTAAATATATATATATATATATATATATATATAATTTCTAAATGTATATTTATTTTTTTATTTTACAAAAAAATAATATAAATTATAAAAAAAATAAATCTAAAATAAAATTATATAAAAATAATATTAAATAAAATAATAATATTATATAAAAGTAAAGTAAAATAATGTTATATAAAAAAAATAAATTGTAAAATAAAAAAAATAAATATACATTTAGAAATTAAATTTATTAACATCTAGTTTCTTTTTAAATAAATTTAATTTATATATCATTCTAAAACTTTCTTCCTCGCGGATCTTCTGCGATTCTATGCCTTCCCTTACGCGCTTAGAGACATTTCTGTTTTTCGTACGGGTATCCCCACCCGTATGTACAGACGTGCCGCTCTCGTCTCTCTCCTTCTTTCTCTCCCCCTTCTCCCCCCCCCCCCTCCTCTGTTCCTCTTTCGCGTATTGTTGTCAAAATCGCGGATCGTGTGGAAATTCGCCGACCTCGTTGCCAGAGGAAATGCGATGATTCATTAGCAAGATAATCTCCGATGCTTGTGGGATGTTTACCTGCGAGAGATGTCCGATATGGATTCTTCTTCTGCTGGTTCTTGTTGGTCGTTGTCGAACGAGGTCGATGTCGAGCGAGGAATTTTTTTCTTTTTCTTTTTTTTTAACGATAGACGGTCGTTAGAACGAGGGAAAAAGCGGAGGGAACGAGTCCTCCGGAAGATCCGAGGGAGAAGACGAGGGAATTTGATGCAATTTCGTGGAAAATGTGTCGACCTGGGAGTCGCGAGACCAAGTCCGGAGAGGGAACGACAGACAGACAGGCTCTGTTGCGCCTGTTTTCTCGTTTTCGTAATGAATGACGTCTTTGCTATGCGAATCGGTAAGATTTTCGATGCTGGAAGTCGCAAGTAATTGATCATCGGTATCTAATTTATCAACTCCTTCGTTGGTACAATTGTCATATCCTTTCTAAACAATTGTCGTACGATATATTTTTCGAAAATATCAAGCACTTTCAGAAAGTTCCCGATGTATAATTTCATCAGTTTCAGTTTCTAGATAATGTAATTTTCACTGATTACAATTATATTATGTTGGCGGAGTTTGAAATTAATTTGAAATTTATCCTTTGAGCATGCTGGTAGTGTAATTTCTGGTCTATCATTTCTACGCAACGGTAGAACATATTTTTCGATTATATATCAAATCCGTACTATTATAAATTATATTACGTAAATATCGTGCTATCGACATATTTTTCGAAGATATTGAGTTTGTGCGCTACTCGGAAATTAAGCTGGGACGACTGCACTTTCAGAAAATTGCTGATATATAATTTTCAGTCAGTTTAGTTGTAGATAATATAATTACAAATTTCACAATTATATCATATAATATTGGTAAAGTTTGAAACTAATTTGGAATTTGTCCTTTGAGCGTGCTGGCATAGTTGCTGGTATCATTTCTATGCAACAATTGTCGTATCGCGAAGTTGTTTGACAAATTTATTTTTTTCTGAAAAGACTAAATCTGCGAGCTGCTCGGGCATCAAGCTGGACGACTGCACTTTCAGAAAATTTCTGACACGTAGCTGCAGATGATATAATTTTCGTCAATTAAAAATTTCACGATCGTGTTGGCAAAGTTTGGAAACCAATTTGGAAATGTACATGGCAGTTAGAAATTATTTGTGCAGACAGTTTGCAAGATCACCAAAATATTTGAACGCTTAAATAATCATTACGTTAACAAGCCACAGTATTTAGTAGAACCGTCTGTAAACACTAATTTTCGTGTTTAACACGACTGTTCATGCTCTATTAACGTTTTAATGAGTGCATGACTCGAATAAACAACTCGCAACTCCTAATATTCGTTTCAAATTTACCAACTGTATTTCTAACGATTGACTTGTAAAATTTCATACGCTTACGTATAATGAACCCATAAAAATTCACCACGGTGTATATTCAAACACTCTCACACTCGTTGTGACTAGACACAGTATTCGAGCATTTGTCACACAGAATTTTCATGGACACATTGTACGCGCGTGTCGTCGAGATATTTTTGCAAGATACTTTCGGCACTCGAGTAGATTATTAATACGTTCGCAACGTATGAAAGCTCGGCCGGGCCACCGGGGCCAATAAGAAAACTGCGAAACTTTCATTTAGCCAATTACAAACGCTCGGTCCTTGAATCCCAGCCAATTCCTGCCATCGCGGACGTGCGAGCGACCCATCATTTTCCCATACTCCGTCCGAGACTCATCTACATTTCAACCCATTACGCAAACTACACTTTTACCAGGCGGCGAGACGCAACAGCCAGTAGCGTCATTGTTACGAGATAATCCAGCTGCGCCTCTTAATTGAGCGAATTACGCGCCGTGGCATCGCGATCATGCGACGTGGCGTTGCTCATCGAACCGTCGAATCGCGAACTCGTCTAATCTAAGTTTCCGAGCCAATCCGTGTCGCCCCCACTTTTGTTATCCGCGGGCGCTCACTTTCGAATGCACACCTCTCTTATTCATAAATAATTGCCATCGGCGTGAAAGAGATTCTTAAATCTCGCTCCGGTATACTCTTCCGGATACTCTTCGAGTTAGTCTGAATTCTCTTCGTTGGGTGCTGTTGCAAATATTCTCGACCACGTTCCGCTGGCAACTGATTGCGGACCATAACGAGTGACCGAACCGTTATACCGATAATTCGTCGCTTTCTTTTTGAACTCGACTGATATGAATATCAGTGGATAGAAGCGATAAATTTTGCTTTGTTTTACTTAAATATACTTAGAACTGAGAAATTGTTGCAATTTTGGGAAAAAAGAAATTCTCGTGCGTGGCACGTCGTTCCAATGCAAGAGGTTAATTAACGCGTTAGTTATTCTCGGTTGCAGATAATTCTAGCGTATTCCAGACACCTCCTTTCTAGGTTTTAGATAGTTGGAGATGTTAAAGTGAGAAAAATTGAGAAAAACTTTGTAATACAACGCAGCGCACGAGCTTTTATTTACACACTTTGTGAGAAATCATTTAAACCTCTGAAAATATACTGTTTTTTACATTCGTAAAATGTTCAACGTCCGTCAGACAATGAAAAATTACAAATTGGTCATATAGATCAGCGTTGATTAATCCCAGCGTAGAGGGACGAGCCAAGTGAAACGAGATTGACTTAAAATTTTCACAAAATGGAATTACATTTCAAAAGAGAGTTGAATGGCCAATTTCAAACTTTCTTTCATTCACTTCGCCACTGTGCGGAAGAGGAGTTTCCCCGTAACATCGTCGCGATTTCATTTCATCGAAATTCCAAGTGAATGAAAAGTAATTAACAAAGACGAGGGAGAGGAGAAACGCGTCAACGAT